AAGACACTTTACCTCATAAAATCAACTGTTTTTTGTCCACTCTCTGCCAACAGAATGGAGGAGCAGAGAACGGAGGAGGAGAGAACGGGGAGCTAAACGGTGTGGACTCCAGCCCCATTGCCCAGCCAGAATTCGAGACGCTGATGGCCAAGTTCCACTTTGTGGACCTGGCTGGCTCTGAGAGGCTTAAACGCACAGGAGCGACCGGAGAGAGAGCCCGCGAGGGAATCTCTATCAACTGTGGACTGGTAAGACAAACAAAATATCTGTGTGTGTGTTCATATGGGGGGTGGTATGATAGGAAGTCAACTCTTCCACCGTCTCTTTGTACTCTGGTGTATTTAAATATTAGTTTGTGATCAATTTCTGAATGTGTGTTTGTGTGTGTTTGTTTTGTAGCTGGCTCTAGGAAATGTGATCAGTGCTTTAGGAGACCAGGCTAAGAAGGGAGGGCACGTCCCTTACAGAGACTCCAAACTCACTCGTCTGCTACAGGACTCACTGGGAGGCAACAGGTACACAGACACCACCCCTCTTAGTGCTCTTCGTTAGTTATTGACTGTAGTTAAAATTTTATAAGTCATATCAACAGGGCTTATATTGTGCTCATGATAACAACAAGAAATGTTTCTCACAACCTCAACATATACTGTATGCACAGTTGTCTACAACCGTCATATTTCCCTCCTCTCTAGTCGCACAGTGATGATCGCCTGCATCAGTCCGTCAGACCGGGACTTCATGGAGACGCTGAACACACTGAAGTATGCCAACCGTGCCCGAAACATCAAAAACAAGGTGGTGGTGAACCAAGATAAGACCAGCCAGCAGATCAGCGCCATGCGTGCTGAAATAGCCCGGCTTCAGATGGAACTGATGGAGTACAAGGCGGTGAGAGATGGAAACATTGTGGGGGAGAGAAATGAAAAAAATATATAAAACAAAATAAAGACAAGGAGTAGCTCGGGGTAAAAGATGAGAGGGGCTGAATAACATTGGGGAAGAGATGAGGAATGAAAAGTGGCAGGTTGAAGAAGAGAGCTAACGCATGCCTGTCAGTGTAACTGATGCAATGAGGCTGTAAGAGAGGGGTGAATGGGGTGACATGATGGATGAAACTGAGAATAGTAACTGAGCAGAAGAAGAAAAAAGACAACACTAATGGGGGTAAGTGAAAATGGTATTGGAGGGTGAGCAGAGGCCATGCCTGCAGCAGCATCTGATTGCTATATCAAATTAAAGATCTTTACTGGCACACGCATCCATTTATGCCTTTACTATAGTGCCCGAGTATGAAGAAGATTAATCGGTGCAATGTCAGCATTTTACAAAGTAATGCAGAGATAAATTGATCCTCTAGCTGAATGTGCTTGTGCTGAGAAGTGCTGTATGGACTCTGTGTAATGTGGTTATGTGAGGTTACCTACTAGGGGCCATTATGCAGTAAAAAGAGTGGGGAATGATTCAAAAAAATATAACAAGAAATAGGGTGAAAATCCAAGTAATTTCTCATCACTTTTTCATCTGCTTTGACCTTCGAGGTTACAAGAAACGAGCCATCATTTAGCAGGGTTGTCAGTCTATTATGTGATTAAGGGGTATTACCACGTTTACTAGAGGGAAGTGAATGCGTGACTGTGACGAGGGACTACAAGCTGACCTCGATGTGGTAATAAGCGATGCAATGTGACTAGAGTCTGGAAGTAATGGAGTGTTGGATTGGTGGAGGTAATGATGTCTGCGAGCTATGACTGGTTTAAATAATGACACTCTGTTCGACGCTTACACAACAGGATTCTTTCAGCGTTAAACATTCAGAATACGACAATAACTGCTTGAAGAGCCACAGACAGACCAAATCATTTTAAACAAAAGCATTGTGTTCGGTTGGACTGTGAACATCAAGTATATGTAAGAGTGTGGATTCAGAATCAGTTTCAGTTTTCAGGTTTTTTGGCCCTAATATTTGTCTTTTTCTCCTAAAATGCTGGTGGTGTTTATGGTTGCTGTCATTGTGTTCATGCTGACTGTTTGCTTCTCTGTGCAGGGGAAGCGTGTGGCATGTGAGGAAGGTTCAGAGGGCTACAGCGACCTGTATCAGGAGAACGCCATGCTGCAGAGAGAAAACGACACACTGCGACTCAGGGTAAAGGCCATGCAGGAGACCATTGACCACCTCAACACCCGTGTAACACATCTGCTGGCCAATGAGGTCAGCACTCTGCTGACCAAGTCAAGTACGTGAACTCGGTTTCTTTTAAGTTTACCATCTTAAATCTGACTTTATATTTATGTATTCAAATTACTTAACATTGTATCCTTATTGTACAAGTGCTTTCTGTTACCTGAGCCTCACTCTCACCCTTTTGACCCCTAGGTGAGGGTAATGAGGAGATCGGAACTTTAATCCAGAACTACATCCGAGAGGTTGAAGAACTTAGGTAAGTGCTCCAAACTCTCTTGGAAGTCTTTATTTACTAACATCACTCCTAGTATTACACTGAAACCTCACTGAAATTAGCAAACCTGACTTAGGACATTCACTTCTGTGATTTCTTGCCAAGAATTAGAAGAGGTGATCTATAGTACTGTAAATTCTGTCTGTTCAATATGTCGCTGGAGTCAGAAGCCTGTTAGCTAAGCTCAGCATAAAGCCCAGAAACAAGGTTTAAGGTGGAGAAACAGCTGATCTGGCCGTGTCTTCCGGTAAAAGGTCCACCTACCAGCACCTCTAAAGCTCAGTAATTAACATGTAATGGGGGATTTTGTTACCTTTGGACAGAGCTACACTAGCTGTTCCTCCCTGCTTTCAGTTTTAATGTTAAGCTAAGCTAACTGTCTCCTTTTTTTAAGTGTCAAATTATAACTTTTCATCAGTAAATCCTACAGCCAATGTGACCACAAATGACAATTATGGGATAATGGTAACAGTACTACAGCTCTAAAGTTAGCTAACATCAGCTAAAATAAGCTACCATGTGTTACTGGTCATACGGACCAAGAAAGGCTAAGTGTATTGACTTGAAGAAGGGTTTGTTTAATCTCTTATGAATTTAACTTTTAATTTGTAACACTGGTGGTATTGTTTTCCGCCCCTCGCTTCCTCCTCTGTCAGAACTAAGCTCCTTGAGAGCGAGGCCATGAACGAGTCGCTGCGACGACAGGCATCCCGGTTTTCCTCTCGTTCCTCGTTCCCTTCCTCCACTCTCAGCCCCGCCCCCGGCCACCCCCCTGGCTCCTCCCCTGCTCCAATGTCCATGGAGGCCGAGATGACAGACGTGTTACGCCGGGCCAAGATGGACATCGAGAGGCTGAAGAAGAAGGAGAGGAGGCAGAGGAGGATGAGGTGAGGAGGACACATTTAAGATTTTACCTCACATTGACATCCTAATTCCAAAAAAAAAAGATAAACAAGTGTTCCAGGAAGCGCATATATCCTCATGGATCCAAACATCCCAGCTTGATGTAAATTTGATTTCTCATTGCTCCTCCTAAGCATTTGTCAATGAACCAGTGCATGTTTTAAAAGCTAAGAGAGCATGAGGAGTACATTATAGTTCCTGCCCATCATTGCTTCTCTCCTCTAGCTTAAGAGCCACGGCACAAGTCGATTAGAGCTTTGGGATGGCCGGCTTCTAGATAGAATTGGGATGCAGCCAGTGCTAGTAGTAACGCTGGCTTGGACACAAAAAGGTTTTAATTCAGTCGGCCAGTGGGTCATGAGAGAGAAGAGTACACAGCCTAACAGGCTAATTGAGGTTTAATGGGACAGAGATGGGACTTAAGGAAAGGGATGGGAAATAAGCGGGATGGTTGTCAAAGAGGCCGCAAAGGGGAGAATAAAATTGGCAATAAAATTTGAAGAGCTAAAAGGGGAAGATGGGGGGTAGATGAGCTGAAGAAGACTTTGCTAATGACTTCAGAGGTCTGATTTTGCTGTGAGAACATCACTTGGCATCATTCCCAAAGCCCTAATGGTGGTTGTTAGGAATGTGTGACATCTCACTTACATGAAAGGGAGCATTTGTAATACATGCAAATGGACAAGAAACACTGTAGTTGAACTGAATGGACAGGACACAGGTGAAAATAGTAAAGGAATTTGATGCTATTTTTTGAAAAACATATTGACTTTAGTTTATATACACTTTATTTGCATCTGCCAGCTGTGACCTGGCTTAACAATTGTGCTTTTTAACTCCTGTAGTCCAGAGTTGGAGAAAGGTCTAAAGAAACGAGTGAAACTGCACAATCATGAGAATGGAGAGAACGGCCAAAGTCGTGAAAACGGACAGAATGGAGAGATTGATTCAGACGACAACTACACTGAGGTAAGCTACACGTGTCAGCATTCATTCAAGAGTTTAGAACAAAAACAAACAGAACAACGTCTAACGCATCTGTGTGTTTCTGTGCATAGGACATCATGTCTCCACTGCAGGAGGAGAGTGGTTGTGATGAAGATGAGGGGGAGGATGAGGAGGAGGGCAGGGAGGAGGAGGACGAGTTTGACAGTGATGAGAGCCTGGTGGATTCGGACTCGGACTCTGATGAGAAAGGTGTGTTTCTGACAGCGGATTCTACAAAATGACCAGACCTTTCCCCCTCCTGTGTCTTGTTTTTAGTCAGTGTCGGTCACTTTGATTGAGCCTGAAATATCTCAGCTACTGTTGGATGGACTGCCAGAGGATGAATCCCGATGACACTAGTGCCACCAGCTGGTCAGAGTTGTGACATATTCAGTGAAATATCTCAACATCTATTGGGCGAATTGGCACACAATTTTGCCCAGAAATGAATGACTTTTGACATCTGCTGACTTCTCCTTCAGTGCCACCATCTGATCTAAATAATCTAAATTAAGATGATCTAAATCTAAATAATTTGTCATTTATGACCAAATACCTGAAAAACTAATCTAACTAATCCTTGTTCTACTGACATCATGCTGTTTGCTAGATGGTTGACAGTGAAGACAGTAGAAGACATTTATAATGTAGAGCTGAAGCAACACTAGAAACAACCAATGCGTAATGTTTAGATTTGATATCACAATAAAGAACAGACAGTGAATTAAGACTTCAATTTGGGTTGTGGCAGCCTGTTTCTGACATTTGCTGCTATTAATTTCATTAACCTGAAAAAATGTTTAATGTATTTGTAACTCTTCTTTAAGCAGCAAATTTCCAGGCGGACCTGGCTGATCTGACCTGCGAGATCGAGATCAAGCAGAAGCTGATAGATGAGCTGGAGAACAGCCAGCGGAGGTTGCTGTTGCTAAAGCTGCAGTACGAGGAGAAGCTCATTCTTCTGCAGAACAAGATCCGAGATACTCAGCTGGAGAGAGACCGCGTACTGCAAAACCTCAGTGAGTTTATGCATCTCAGGGTTTGTAGTTTACACATGTGGCTGTTGAGAAAACCCAGAAGTTATTAGATCAGTAGAAAGTTTCATTAAAGGTAAAGCACAGGTCATTAACGTTATTACGTGGCCCCACAGTGTCCATGGAAAACTACACGGAGGAGAAGGCCAACCGGGTCAAGCAGGAATATGAGAAACGTCTTAAGGAGATGAACCGAGATCTGCTGAAGCTACAGACGGCGCAGAAAGAGCATGCGCGTCTCCTCAAAAACCAGGGCCGGTACGAACGGGAGCTGAAGAAACTCCAGTTAGAGGTCAACGATATGAAAAAAGCTAAGGTAAGGCTGGAGGAAGGAGTCAATGGGGAGGAGTGAATGACATTGTTTGAGCAGGAATACTAGTGCAGTTTAAACTTGACCTCTCTGCTATTCTCAGGTCACACTGATGAAGCAGATGAAGGAGGAGCAGCAGAGGAGGAGAATGGTGGAGGCAAAGAGGAACCGTGAGATCGCCCAGCTCAAGAAGGAGCAGCGACGACAAGAGGTCAGACTGCTTCAAAAACCTTTAGCACACATATTTACAGACGGTATGAGCAGTGTTGTTTAGGAGCCTCTTGAATCTATTATACTGTTGTCAGCATGGTCCGAATTCTAATTTGACTCCTGTATTTGAAGAATGATTCATGCTGGTGAGTTGGCGTGGACACTTGATACATGTGTGGAAATGCAGTCAGGTTCTCCATCTGTCTGTCAGCTTGGCACATTAAAGACCTGTTTTATGTATCCTGTACATATTCACACAGATTTTGGTATCGCTTTTATGTTTTAAAGATTAGTATTTACTCTACATTTATTAATTCCCATCTTTATTTGTTTTCCCTGGAGGAGAGGGCTTATTAATGAGCATGGGCACATTTACACTGTCATACCGTGGGACTAATTCCTAATCCTTTTATTTAGGGTTTCGTCTCAAAATCCTTTCATGATCAACACTTTGTAAGCCTGTTGTGCAAAAAGCTTAGGAATCTAATTCATGTTTGAAGGAAAAATACAAAATGTAGACGAAGGCTGAATAACAAACATACTGAAGAACTGCTTCCCTCCCTCCTGCCCATCAGTACCAGATTCGAGCACTGGAGTCTCAGAAGCGGCAGCAGGAGCTGGTGCTGCGCCGGAAGACTCAGGAGGTGACCGCCTTGCGCCGCCTGGCCAAGCCCATGTCAGATCGCGTGGCCGGACGTGTGGCCCGCTGGAACCACAACCCCACAGTTACAGACTCTGGAGCTGAGTTATCAGCCAGCACTACAGCAAGCAGCTCCGAACCTGAGACTGGGAGGAGTGTGAGCGGGCTGGTGAGACAGTGGAACAACAAAAACAATGTGTTCGGATACCTGGGAGAAAGTGAAGGGAGCATGGATGGAACCAGGGTCATTAGGTAAGATGGGTTGATGTATTCAATGTATAACCTCTACTACATATGTTTGTGTTAACACTGTCATTCAAGCGGCTGCAGATTACCCTTTTTAAGTCCCACGCCTTTTGGAACCTCTGTCAACTTCCTTCTTTCCTGTACGTAGATATGCTAGGCTCGTGAAGATAGAAGCAACATATATATAGTCACATCTGAAGTTCGCCAGTGTTAGTAAAATGCTAGCTTATTTACATCAGGCTTTTTGGCACTCAACTTTACTGTTTTGGTAAACTCACACCGTTCTCATAGTGCTATTTTCAGCAGTAGCAGGCAGTAGCATTGCTTATTTGAAGCTTTTGGTCAGTGTTTAGCTTTAAGGCTGTTGACTGTTGGTTGATGACAGTTCATTTAACTCTATACTTTCTAAATCTGTAATTCCTACCTCTCCTATTTTCCCCTTCGGTTGCATCCGTCATATCTCTCTCCTCTCTCTTGGTCTCCTCCCAGCAGTAGGAAGAAGTTGCAGCGTAAGCCAGGAGGCCTTGGCAGCAGTGGAGCGGCAGGCAGAACAAGCAGTTTCTCCAAGTCCGCCCGTCAGAAGTGGCAATCCCTCGAGCGTCGCATTATGGACATTGTCATGCAGAGAATGACAATTGCTAATGTGGAAGCTGACATGGATCGCCTTATCAGGGTAGAAATGGCCTTCGTATTTTTATTCTAGATGAAGCAGTACTGATAAATAGTGCTGGTTTGGTGGGTATAGAGTAAAATACCATCATTATGGTTGTACTGTTAAATTGGGACATGGCTTTAAACCTGGACGTGATCATGGAGGATATGGAAAAATGTGTTTTGTGATACAGTTAACTAAAACCAATATACATTGTGAGAGGAGCAGCAGTATTAGTGGTGATTAAATTAAACATGAGGAATCAAAATTGTAGAGTAGTAGTAGTAGTGGTAATATAGTGGAGAGTAGTGGCAGCAGAAGTGTCTGAACTTTGCAGATTAGTTTCCTTTTGGTTCACCTCATCACATTAGTTAATAACTGAAACCAAATTCAGTGACGCTCTTCCTTCCTCCTTTCTACATAGACTTGTTAAAACCATGCACTACAATTAGACAATTACGTATCTTTCTTGGAAATGGGTAAAATATACTTCTTATGTCTGCTGTAAAATTTTTTGTCAGGACAGAAAGATTCAGTAAGTTGAAAAATGTTTCCTAATGTGTCCTTATCCTTAACATCTGCATATTTTTTGTAAGTTTAGCTCTGACTTGTTTTTTTTTTGGTTTTTTTTTGCTGTGTGTGTGTGTTTGTGTTTTTGATGAGTCAGAAGCGAGAGGAGCTGACGGTCCAGCAGGAATCGCTCTCACACAAGAGGGAGGTACTAATGGCGGACGGAGAGGGACCAGAAGCAGAGGACCGCCTCCTTCAGGAAATTAACGAGGAGATTGAGGTGCTGAATGCCAATATAGACTACATCAATGACAGCCTGTCTGACTGCCAAGCCACCATTGTACAGATAGAAGAGACCAAGGTATGAACACGCACACACACACACACACACACACACATACACAGTAATGCTTAGAGAACTAACTGACAGAAGGCCCTTAGTAATGCCTTGAACTGTGTTTTCCTGTAGGATGAGCTGGACTCTGTGGACACATCTGTAGTGATCAGCTCCTGCTCTCTGGCTGAAGCACGCAACCTGCTGGACCACTTCCTGAAGGCTTCCATAGACAAAGTGAGTTTGCATATAACAGAAAGCATATAGAATTAGGTGTTTTTTTGCAGGCTTAGAAACATTTGGAAAATCAATTGTGTTGAAGCTATTTAAATTTCCACTCACTTCAGTCACAATTTGAAGAAAATATGTAGCCTTAAAAAAAGATAAAAACATATATGGACCTATTAGATGAGTTGAGTTTTTTTTTACTGTTATCATATTATGCTACTGGCAAAAATGTAATCATGTTCACAACCTGAATTCCTTAGAAGCCAGTGAACAATGGTTGCAGGGCCATCTAGTGGTGTCTTTTTGTACTGCAATATGATGTCGGGGTGAATTTCTTGGTGCAAAAGATCAATAAACACCATAACAAACAATAAATAAACAATATATTTACTAGTTAGTCTCATTTTCTGTTGTGCGGTCAAGTCTGAAGTCTAAAGGTTTAGTATTACATTAATGTGTGTGTGTGTGTGTGTGTGTGTGTGTGTATACAGAGTTTACAGGTGGCTCAGAAAGAGGCTCAGATCAGACTGCTGGAGGGTCAGCTGAGACAGACAGATGTGATTGGCTCATCCCACAATCACATTATCCTTGATGCCCTGCGAGAAAAGGCAGAATACATACCTGAACTCCAGGCCCTCATCCACAATGTACAGCAGGGTGAGTGCCGTGCTTTTTTTGTGCTTTGGTCTGTGTGACAGTGTCTAAGACTTTATACAGTATGTTCCCTGGCAGCTGTCACCCTCTGTCTTTACTCTTAATTTAGCACAGTTTTAAATGCAAACCCTTTCTCTTAACCTGTTACTTTCATGTCAAAAGGAAATCTCATGTATAAAAGTATAAAAGGTGTTATTATTGTGCTTGACCATACTGCTTTCCAGTAAATCATACAGTACACCTCTAAATACAATAGCAAATAAAGTTTCAGACTAGTACATCTCTCTTAGTCATTCCCTTGCATTCTCTCTTGTGTTGTCCTTTCAGCAATGTTTTGATGCATAAAATTATCATAAAATCTGTGTACAAGAACAGAAAATGATGACCTCAGATATGAATTAAAACTCACATTTCAGTGAAAGATTTAAAATTGGAAAATGTGGCTGTGAGTAGGTTATGGAACATACAGACAAGTGTATGTGTGCTGTTCTGAAGTTGCATGTTTTGTGTGCTTCCAGAAAATGGTTACGCCAGCACAGACGAGGAGCCCTCTGAGTTCAGCCAAGCTTCTGACAGCAGGTGAGACTGCAGTCTGCTCGCCCACACAACATCCTCAATAAACAACATCCTCTTCTCACCATGGCCCTCTTTTTGAAAAAGCTTACGCTATAGTCTGCTAAAAAATACGTGATTGGAACACTCAGGTTTGGTATGGTTTGTTACACAGAATAATCTGGGAAGTTGCTGTTGGAAACTGAAAAAGGGCAAACGCTTTCACAAAATATTCAGCAGGTGATTGGAAGACCTGTCTGTTATTGTCTATCACAGGCAAACTTCAACCAGTCAGATCAATGAAGCATATAACGTCGTCTAACTCTTACCGAAGTCAGTTGGAAGAAGAGCGAAAACACATTTTCCACCGAGAAAAACCTTTAGTGCCGTCCTTTGCTCTTCCTTCAGTGTAGAAATACTCTCCAGTTCTGATATAACTGATGCCAGCAGCATCTACGCTAACCTCTTTAGCAGCCGCCATTGTTGTGTTCTGTCACTTCTCAACACACCGATAAATGCACACTGTGGTTGGACACACTTGAATCCTGGCAAAATCTTGCATGATCTCATGATTTTGTGATCTCTTGCAGGGTTTTTTCTGTATACGTGTTTATTTCCCTAACCTGTCCTTTTCTCTCTTTCTGCAGTGTATCTCAAATGAAAGAATCCAACAGCCAAGATGATTTCAAGATGAAGGTACAGCTGGTTTGTGGTGTTGTAATGCATAGCTGTTATTTAATCTATCTTTAAGTCCACATTCTTGCTGGTTACACAAGAAAGGTGTCCTTTGTCCAGTCCAGATGTTAACATTACCTCCATATATTTGTGTTAGTGTCAGTGCTAAAAACATTAGGTAGTGCTGTGTCTTGCAGTATCCAAGCCTGTCAGACCTTTATTAATCACGTTGATGCTGCATATTGTCAGATGATGTTTGCTGCAGTGATTGCGTTTAGACCCTTTAGACTTTAGCTGTCATCCTTGTTTGAAACCATGAGGTGGCAGTAAAAGCAAGCACTTAAAAATTCTTCCACTGCTTAATGCTTGGTTTTATATTCTGGGAGGAACCCCTGATTTGACACCAATCCCTCTTATCCTCTTGTTAATGTTGTGTTCTCTATTCTTTATTGTGTTTTCAGTTCTTGTTTTTCTCATTCAGCTTTACTTCGACCGCACAATGGGTGCTTTCTCATTTCTTACTGGTTTCATATTCTCTTTGCCCCTTTCCCTTCTCAATGGTGTTTTTAGGCTGTATGCTAATTTCCTCTTGTGCCTTAATTAAATTCAATCTTTATCTTTATTTTATATCCCACTGCCGTGCTTCTTCCTCATTTCATTCTCCCTTCAGTCTCCCTTCAGTGGTCCTCTGTAACACAAATGGTGCATATTTTTTACCCAGATGGAGCCTCGTCTGTCAGCTCAGATGAAGGCGGTGTCTGCGGAGTATCTGGGTCCCATCCTGGACCCCACATCAGGGGGCAAGCAGCAGCACATCACCAAGTCTCTGGCCTCGCTGACGGACATCCAGGAGGATGGCCTGAGCCTTGCGACAGCGAGTCTGGGGCTCAGCCTGGCCCTACGAGACCCCTACCACAGGGACAGAGCGTCCCGCACCATCAGCCTACCTATCAGGGGACACACCTTGTAAGTGAATCCTAATGATAACTGAGACGAAGCTGGGACAAGATTTATCCTGTTACCAGGAAGGGGGCGGTGATGGAGGCTTGGGTCTTGTATTTCCCCTGGGGTGCAAGTACCCCTGGGTTGGGAATTACTGCTCTACTATGTAGGACAGCAGGATGGCCTATAGGTTAGAGTCTTCTTCAGATAGAGAACCTAATCTCGCAGCCCCACGTTGGTAAACATTTTTTCTGCTCAAGTGCCCTTCAGTTTGACAATACATAAAGAATGTTATTGAGATAAACAAACAAGCTGGATAGAAACATGAGGAAAATTGCATAACCATGAGTAAACACGCTGTGGAATATCACAAATACATCAACAATAGAAAAGAACATTTTATTTCCTGATAACTAAGTTGTCAAAAAAAAAAAATTGTGACTATTTTTCAGGCTGCACACTTCCAAACTAACAACCTCTGGAAAACTGCCAGAGGCCTGATATTTTATAGGTTATGAAACTGCGTCAGGGGAGGGAAAAGGAGGAATCAATGAAATGTGCATCAGTCCTCTGGGATGGGAAGCCTGTTTGTGTGTGATTTGATATTTAAAGAAATGAGCCTGCCAGCTGCTTTAGTCTTCTAGAAATGTTGTTCAATTGCATAAACCCTTTTTGCTTATAGATCCCCAACAGTTTACATAGATGTGTATCATCCTCCTGTGCACTCCCTTAAAGATTTGCTTAGTTTGCTTTTGTGTGTGTGTGTGTGTGTGTGTCAGTCCCAGGCAGTCTCGGGGTTATGACACTTCCCCTATAACAAGGAGGAAATCATACGACCGTGCGTACAGGTACATGCCCCGCAATGCTCAAATTCGTTTTCTAGGCACATTTTCTTTTTCTGTTTTATGTAATTTTTATACTACTTCCTTCTTAACTCTTCTTGTCCTTCCCTATTCTTAACCTTCCTCACCCTCCCACCACCGATCAGGCCCACTGACGGCTACACTCCCCCCTCCTCCCCTCCTCTGAGGACCAGGAATGACCGTAATGTCTTCTCAAGGCTCACCAGCAACCAAAGCCAAGGCTCTGCTCTGGACAAGTGAGTACACACTTGCACAGGTACACACATTCACATGCTGCTTTTGTCCTTTTGTACCCACATTCTCATCTTATCAATTCAGTCTCACTTTGACTGAATGAACCATTCCTTTCTTTTCTTTTCTTCTTTTCTATGGTTTAAGGTCTGACCCTGTCGATAGGTTTCAGGTCAGGCCTTTTGAGCAGAAAGTGCTTTTGTCCGCGGTGTAGATGAGCCGCTTAAGAGCCTGCTATTCCAGCTGTTTATCTTCAGATGAATCCCACTCTAAGACAAAAAGACTTTTCATCTGGCATTACTGTAGTTGCTGGTGGGGACAGATGGTGCAAACATTCACAGAATCCAGGTCTTAAATCCACTCAAGAGGCATTGAAGATACGATCATCAAAACCACAACCACAGGCTACTCAGAGCTGCATTTAGCAACAGTAACAACAAGGTGTAATTGCAGTGTTTGCAATCCATACATCGGAGTTACCAGGAGACAAATGCAAATGGGGGGGGGATAGTAACATCCTCTGTAGAAACAAACTGTCAGGGGTATTTGTGGTTAGGGGGGAAAGCAAGATGCAGTATTGTGTGTGTTTTAAGATGTGGTGAAGTGCATGACAGTAATGTACAAGATCTGCATTTGTGTGAGAGAAAGAGAAATCACCTTGTATGGTCTATTTTAATCTGATAACATACAGCCCTGCAATAAATCTTATCTCATAATATTCAGGTTTGTTGACAAAGAAAATGTGATTTAAATTTATGGTAATTTTTTAGGCTTGTAGTTGGTTTATGGTGTCAAATCGGCCCGTTTTTAATGTTCTTTTCATCCTCTTTATATACATGTGTAAGTGTGTAGCTACATCAGATGGAGACACAATGTGGATATGAGATGCATGTTAATGTCAGCTTCGAAGGTGCCAAGACAGGAACGAGCTACCGGCTTTTTCTCTTCCTGCTCACAGTCAATTCCAGCTTTCCCTTTCTGACAAATGTCAGCAGTTAATTTGAGTTGGCGTTTGGCTCGGCTGTAAAGTTGTTTGTTTTGTAATCTTTATTAATCCGGAACATTTATTTCTTTATTGACCCATAATTGTTAACAAGGATGCTGTGTGGAACTGAGAGTTAGGGTGTTTGTGTTTGGTGCAATGTGTGTGAATACTTTTGTGTGTGTGTGAGCTGGTGGGTCCTCATTATCTGGAGCAGGGGTAGGTAAATGAGTTGGCTCTTGTCATCTTTCCATGCAGCTGTTGTCATTGGTGGCCATTTTGAATTGACTCAGGGTGACAGTGTGGGAGGATATTTCTCTTAAGGGTTTTGTATATAGGTCCCAGAGGAGAGCCTTTCTATTGAGGATGAGGCAGGGGGATGAAATGGCGTGAGGTTTTTCCCCTTATCTTTTGTTGCAGGAAGCATTTTCACTATTCACAATTTGAGGAAAAGAATTAACATCATTTGGTCATTTGCACTTTTAGTGAGGTGTAGGTGGCGTAAATGTATTGTTTACTGAAGTGATCAATTTATTTATTTATTTATTTTTACCAAAGATTCATCATTTAAACCTTCATTTTCATTCTGTTTGGTTTCATTCTATTTACATTACTGACACTGACCTAAGTCTGACACTTAATTCATCATCACGCATGAATTCAAAGCTAAATGAAGCTAATTTATTAAAAACTAATTAGAAAGACAGTCTGAACTGTCTGTATGAATTCTGTGTCTTGGGTATCAAATGAGAAACTGTCTGCTCTGCAAAGAGAATATAGTGATGTTCTGAAGTACATCTTTGCAAGTTCACAAAACGTATTAAAATGCAATAGGATGTTTTTGAGATTGGGACTTTATCTGCTTCTGTTTTTTGACTGGTTCATGACTGACTGAATTGCCTATGAGACTGGAATCAAGCATTTGACACACATTGGAAAGATGCATGAAAATTAATTTCAAGTACATTTTTCTTGTCATCTGTTGAGGCTTTGAATCCCAGATCAGTTTCTTTAATCTTCACATAACATTTGCATCCTCCAAAACCAATGAATTTTTAAAAAGGATTTTGTCTTTCGTCTGAAATAAAAGCGGTTATTACTATGCTAATAGCCACTATGACCTGCAGTAAATACCAAGAAATAGAGGAATTTCTATCACCTTTTAACACTGTTCCTCCCTCCAGACATATCAAGAACCATTTTGTTTTATTATTTCATGCTCATGAGTATAAAGCTCAGGCTCTCATGGTGACTAACCTGAGGCCATAAAATATTTACAATATAATAACCCTTTTATTGCACTGTTACACAAATACCAGCCTTTCCCTCTAAGCTATTGTGGAGGTATTATATTGGTGTGGTCTGGATTTTTTTCCCTTGACAGCTTTGAGCAGGCTCGCCTGTGAGTTTGATTGACAGCCTTATCCTCCATTCTAGATTTTCCCTTCTGAAACCCTGTTTGCGACCCCTTATGTTCTTTTCTATCCAAAATCCCTCAATATGGAAAGTGTGGATGTGGGAGTGGACACTGGCATCAGAGGAGTCATACATTGGGGATAAGGGCTACAAAAGTGTAGCATTAACCTCTGTGCATCAGTGTTTCCCCCATGACTACTCCCCTTTTACTTTCAGTACCTTTTTTCTGCTTTAATAAAATTAATAGTTTGACAGTTTGGGAAACATGTGGATTCACCTTTTTCCGGAGAGTTATATGCGAAGATTGATACCACTCTCATGACTGTATGCTAAATATGAAGGCGTAGCCAGCAAGAAAGCGAATAAGCGTATTTCCCAAAATGTCGCACTATTTCTTTAAACCTTCAACCTTAACATTAGCCCCAACACTTCTAGGGAAAAATTTACTAAACCAGCCATTGCTTAGTGTGGGTGTTCCTACAGTAAATATGCTTTACCAAGGAAAACATCTGCAGACAGTGGTCAATGAATACAGCCTGTTCAGTGGTTATTTTGAAAAGACACAAACTGCCTGAGAATCACTGGACAAGCTGTATTGTTTGACTGAGCTTTCCTGCCTGTTTGCTCACTGCTTTATATCTAAAACCCTTCCTCGAGTCACTCCTCCCTTTAACCCTTTGCCAGTAACCCTTCTGTCTTTCCTTAGCTTGGTTAACCCTTTCCTCTTCCTGCCCTACCCTCCCCTCTCCTGCTCCTCTTCTGCCTCCAGGTCGGATGACAGCGACTCCTCGCTCTCCGAGGTGCTCAGGTAGAGGAACTGTGTTTGTCACTCTCTTTTTTCCCATTTGCCTGTTAACTCACCTGGTGTCATCTCGTCTTCACCAGTAGTCAGTGCCTCGCCTGGCCTCTCCTCCACCTCCTTTTTCCCTTCTGTGGTTGAGGTCGTTGTGGTGCATGTTTTAACCATACGCGGCTTTCTTGACCCGCCGGGCTTTCCCATCTGTGTGATGTTGTGGTTTTCTGTGGTGTTGCTCGCACACAAGACCTGAATGAACCTTGCCACGTTTCTACTGCAGAGAAAAAAGCTAATATGAAACTGTGCAAATATTAATTGAACAATCATCAAATGGCTGTAGTAACCGTGAGACAAGTATGATCACTTATTTCCTGTAAAGACTGCAGTGTTGATGTTAATATTATATTCAGTATTCGATTAAAGGAATAGTTGGAAATTTTGGGAAATACACTCAAAGAGGCATCAGGTGAAGGGGTGTCACTCTTATATCTGTCTGTTAAATATGTAGCTGGAGCCAGCAGCCAGTTAGCTTAGCACAAATAGTGAAAACAAGGGAACACAGTACTTCTAAAGTTCACTAATGAACATGTTATATCTAGTTTGTTTAATACGTACTAAACCCAAAGCGAAGACCACAAATTGTGGTTCTATGAAGGGTTATGTGCCGGTCTACTCAGGCCTTTTCCTTCAACAGGGAACCAGCCCTATTCCAATTACGTTCTGAAAGTCCGGGTTGACAAACTGATGGCCTACACTGGCGTTAAACGGTACTATGACAGTGATGAAGATGTTAGTTATTTGAGTCTGTGTCAACTTAATCTGGGGTTATGCGCATAAAGGAGCGTGTTCAGCACTGCAGTAGTGTGGTTTTCTCTTATGGACTCATGGACACATTTCCAAGAAGAGGTAAATTAACGGGAGAAAAAATCTCAGAAATTTACCCATAAATTCATTAACAGGTATTAAAGCAAGAAAGTGAGCCTGAAAGTTATCCTGGAGGAGAGATGTACAATGAATTTAATTAAGTGTTGATATGAATTTAAAACTGTTCTATGCCTGAAATCAGGTGCCTGAGAACTTTGAGCCCTGGATTAAAATTTACTCCCTAAAGCACCTAGGTTGAAGGGCTACACGTGTGAATGTAATTCTACTGTTAAAAGTGTACAGTCAGTTGCATCAGTCACCCTCTGGAAGTGTTTTCTGTATATAGGCCTAGTCTATGTATATTAAAAAGTATTTTTATATTGTGAATTACCTATTAAATGTGAACATAACAAATACATTCTGGCCCTAGAAGCTGGCATAGATACTGAATTCAGATGAAAATCCATATCTTTTTAGAGAACGTCATTGGGGTAAACTAAAGGATTCTGATGGTCTTTAAACACCCTCGCCCTCCACAGTGAGCCTCTCAGAATCCTTGCGCCAACGTCTTCCAAATGTGCCGCCATTTTTCTCCACAGATTGTGGGCGGAGGAGAGGAGGTTTATAGGGTAACATTGAGTTAACCACGAAGATAACCTGCTCGGAGCAGTTAAGACATGGAGGGTGATCGGGTAAAACGTATGCACCTTTTGTAGTTCGAGTTAACCTTGAAGTTACAGCTGATGTCACTGAGTTACTCCTGAAGTTACCTGGATAAGCCAGTTACCTCACTTCGTAGTACAACCCTCAGAACTAATTTGGTGGAAAAACACTGACTGTGAGTTTGCCATGCAACCAGCAGAGGCTTAGTGTACAGATATAAAAGAGATGTCCATCTTCTCATATAGCTTTCAACAATAAAGCTACTAGGCATATTTCCCAAAATG